AACACTTGCCTGATGTATGAAAATAAGGATAAGAATTGATGCTTGAACATATGGTAGTTTCTTTAACTATCTCTTTTTAAATGTAAAATGATATCAACTGTGCAGAAAAACAGAACATGTTTATCAGTGAAAATTATTTAGAGTTAACAGATTTCTTCTATGAAGAAGAGAGACTCTTCCTAAGAAAACAGATCTATTTCAAGAAAACAGACCACTGACAAAGACATACAAAATAAATCCTTTATAGGCAAATTTCTATGGTCATAATTTCACTGCAGCGCTCAGCTTTATAATTCTGCCATCCTTCCATGCACATTGTACCAAAGGTCCTTTACATTGTATATTCTCAAGAAATGTATCTTTTTAACCTGGGTACTTTCAAGGTATCTTAATATCACTTTCTAATCATTGATGATAGTATTACTAAGACTTGAAGGAGGAGCCACTATTTTCAAGGGTTGCAGAATTTATTGGATAATCTGGTGTATTTGGGGGGGGCTTCCAGTCATAGGAGACCTTGTTTTTTTAGAGAAAAGCAGGAGTAGTATACATTTTTGTGAGGTTAATGAGAATTTGGTACTGCAGTAGCTGTTCAGATGAAAAAAGTGTGTGACTCTAAGCATTCCTTTTTCAGTATGTGACCCTTGACTAAACTTGTTTTTCATAGATTGTTGTTGGGGAGATGTCATTGAATTGGCTTAATGTTTCCCTGCATATTATAAGTTGGGCTACTTTGAACACAGGATGATAGGAAAATAGGGCTGAAAGATGCCTCACAAGGTCATTTAATCCAGCCTCCTGCTCAAGGTAGGATCATTTCCCTGACTAAACCATTCCGATCACGTGTTGTCTAACCCAGGTTGCTCAATGTCTGACCCTTGGGCCAAATGTGGCCTGCACGGCCTTGGAATCTAGCCTGCAGGATGCCCCATAGGTTAGGAAATTTGACAGCAAGGGGAGCAGTGGCAGTTAATACAGCCACTCCTTCCTACTGCCAAAATCCCCAGCCCCAAGCAACTGGTCAGACCTAGTCCATGACTCTCTCCCTGCATGGCCATATTGGAGTCAGGCCATATCCTCTCCCCGCTGCGTGGCAGGGTTGGGGCCAGGCTGCACCCATTCTCCCTCCATACAGAGCCAGGCTATGTTCCCTTCCCCTGCACTGCTGGTTTGGGGCCAGGCCACACTCCCTTCCCACCCCCGCACCCTGCACTTAGGTTGTGGCCAGGTCATGCTGCCTTCTCCCACAGGGCAGGGGCACACTTTCTTCCACTGCAGTGCTGGATCAGGACTGGGTCATGGTCCCTGCCCCCCGGGGGTCAAGTTGAGGCCCAACCAAGCCCCCTTCCTCCAAATGGCTGGAATGGAGCTAGGCTGCCAATCTGGCATGCTGGCATGGCTGGATGGGGTCCCTCTGGATATGGCCTATGGAGGATTTGGACACTGACCATCTGACATGCTAGCCATAAAGGTTAAGCACCACTGGTCTAACCTGTTCTTGAAAACTTCCAAGAATTCCACAATTTCTCTAGGTAGCTGAGTCCACTGCTTGACCACCCTCATAATTGGAAAGTTCTTCCTACTCTCCAACTTAAATTTCCTCTGAACATAAGAACTACCATTTACTAGGTCAGACCATAGGTCCGTCTTTCACATTATCCTATGCCGCATGGGCAACTGGTGCCTCCTGAGTCTGTGGGGGCACCATATTGCTGATGGGGAGGGGGTGTGTCCCCCAGAGGCTGATCGCTCACCAGGGGGTGGGGTCCTCCAGTGGCCAATTGCTAACTAGGGAGATTCCCCAGCAGCCAATCTCTGAGCCACTTCCAGTTTCATGGCTGGAGCTTCCAGGGGGCGCACAGCTGATCTCTGCGTGAACCCCCTACGCGTCACCAATGCTGTGCCACACAGTGGCAGAGAATTAATGCTGAAAGGGACAGTGAACTAGGTTTTTTTTCTACTGTTCCTCTCTCACTTGCAACCTCCAGCATTAAAGTTCTAGGACAGGGGTTTTCAACCTTTTTGGATCAGTGTACCCCTGTGGCCAGCCAGGCAGGCAGTGCCTGCACAGCAGCGTAGGATGCTGTATGGTGGCACTCCATCCCCACCCACCCGTGCGTACCCCCTAGGGCCTTCTCAGGTACCCCCAGGGGTACGCGTACTGCCGGTTGACAACCCCTGGTCTAGGAAGTTCTAATTCAGAGGCTGTATCCCTAACTCCCATGCTCAGTACTGAATGATGCCCCGTTTCCTCCAAGAATGTATCTAAAATCTGCTGCAGCTGTAAGCCATTGCTCCTAGTCCTGTTCCCTATACCCATGGAAAAAAGGTTATTTCCATCTTCTTTATAATTGCTCTTCAGGTATTTGAAGACTGTTGTTTAATTCCTTCTCAGAGTTCTCTTCTCCAGAATAAATAATCTTAGTTTGTTCAGACTTTCCTCATAAATCATGCTTCCCAAGCCTCTAATCATTTTTGTTGATTTCTGTTAGACTCTTTCCAATCTGTCCACATTTTTCTTGAAGTGTGGGATCCAAAATGGGACATGCTGTTCCAGGGGAGGCCACACCCATGTCAAGTAGACTGAAAGCATCACTTCCTTTGATTTGAAATACAGGAGTGTCAGTATGTTATTGGCCTTTTTTTTGCAACAAAAGCACACTGTTGGCTCATATTCAGTTTATGGTCCAGTGTAACTCCAAGGTCCTTCTTTACAGTACCACAACCTAGCCAATCATTCCCCAGTCCATTTATTTTTTATGCAATTATTACATCCCAAGTGCAGGACTTTGCACTTGTCCTTGTTGAATTTCATCTGATTGATTTCAGACCATTTCTCCAGTCTTTCTGCATCATTCTGGACCCTACATCCCAGAATGTCTGCAACTCCAGCTTGGTGTCATCCACAAGTTGGCTAAGTGTGTCCTTAACTCCATCATCCAAGTAGTTAATTAAAATATTAAATGATACTGGACCCAGAACAGACCCCTGAGGATCCCCATTTGATACCTCCTCCCAATTAGACTTTGAGCCATTGATGACTACTCATTGAGCACAATGACCTGACAAATTAAAAATCCACCTTATGGTACTGTCATTTACTCTGTATTTCCTTAGGCTGTTAATGAGACTGCCATAGGAGATGGAGTCAAAAGGCTTGCTTTTGAGTCAGGGTATATTTGGCCCAGAGAGTCCACTTTTGGCATGGGTATAAAAACAGATGTTTGAAAGTGAGTCTTTTTAATATAGCAGAGAAAATATAATTTAATATTAATGATGTATGACAACCATATCTAACTAGGCTACAATGAAGAATATGCTGCTGAAATAATTGGACAAGACACATAATTAATTAGGTATAAATTAGGCAATATTTCTTTGGAATTTTTCCAAGGAATGAAAAAATTCTGGCACCTAAAGGTATACAAGCCTTGGAAATGGGCTAGATAGTTCTTTCTCCCTCTGGGATAAAATAAACTAGAGAATGATAAGAGGTCACAAAATGCAGGTGTGTTTTATCTGAGCACCTAAATATGTTGTTCCTCTCAAAACTTGCTGAAATAAAGGAGAAAGAGCAATACAATGAAAAGGTATTTGCAGCATTGACAATTCATGTGGCTTGGGAAAAAAGTCAGTTCAAGTTACCCGGAAGCATGGGAGGGATAAAGGAGAGACAGAATGGCAAATGGGATGGGGAGGTTCCTCCAGAGGCTGTCTTGCAAGTTTGATTGGTGACAGCCAGGATATATTTTAATCGGTTCCCTTTATTCATATAGGATTGGGCTTGAAATTGAAGATCACACATAATGAACTGTCAGGGCACAATTTACTCTAAAAATGGGGAAAAAATGTTTTTCTGCAATTATTTTCAACAGATTAAAGTACTGTGTTTTGTCATTGCAGTAATGTAGACACCGTGCTACAGAAATTTCAGTATGAACAGTAAGCATGCTTAATAACTGAATAGGAGATGAACCTCTAATTGACATGCCTATTACCAGTTTGCTGTTCAAGTGAAAGACAAGGAGAGATAGGACACTGAAGGGCAGAAAGATTTTTATTAAACGAATATTTCACTGAAAATACTGTCAGTACATGCTACAGTGATGGGTATGTTATAAATAAGATATAGAGGGAATAGCTCTACTTTATTTCTAGAGTAAACACTATAAAGATCCTACAGGAATGGTGCCTAGTGCTGCTGGTCTAGAAAAAAATAGCTTTCAGAATCAATCCTGTTTTATATCCATATTTCACACTACTGTTTGAATTTACCACCCTGAGTGATAAGAAAAGCATTGGTTATGGCCTCCATTAAACATGTATCTTTTCCACCTTGATAAACTGCATGCATCCAAATAAAATCCTTAGGAGGAGATCCAGATTTGTAAAGGCATATTTTATTATACTGTAGTTGGGAAAGAATTTAATATTGACAAATTGATTGAGTCATTGTAGCCCCCTTTTTTAATGATCTGCAGGCATACTTAAACGCTTACGAACATATCTGCTAACATGTGGTGTTTACGAACTATTTGCCTTGACTATATCTCTGACAAATCGTTATTAACAGGATATGGTTGTTCTCCTAAGACACGTGATGTTATTTCTTCTCCATAAACAGATGAGTAAAACTTGCGGAGTAATTAGTGCAAGAAAAATCTTGGTCCCCCTGTGGGTAATGGTGTTCACACTAAGTACTCCCCAGGACTGATGCATACAGAAAGCCCTTCACAGTGACATTCATGAAAAAACAAACAAAGAAGCCATACTGAACAGCATGTCAAAATTCTTGTTGTTAATTCCTCTCTTCTTTTACCAGTATGTGAAATACCAAAATGTTGGTAGCTGTTTAATGAGTTGCTGTACAGTAAACATTGTGTAGCCCACAGAATAGGGCTGAACATATTCACAATCAAGCTTAAAATATTCATTTTATTTTGAGCTCACACAGTTTGAGTTGCACATAACTCAGTAATTCCTCTTATTTTGTTTTCTAGAATGACAAATCCCCAGGGCGCTCTGCAAGTCGATCAAGTAACATCTCAAAGGTAGGCGGAATATATTAACTTACTTACTTTCATATAGAATTCCAAGAGACTAAAGGCCTGTTTTACTCCACTGTCCACATAATCATATTCTGACACGTTCTTTGTATATACCAGTTCTTAACATTAGGCTGCCTAATGCACTAATTGCAACATAAAGGTCATTTAAAAATACATGGTTAATCTCTTTTTATCCATTGAATATCCATTAAGAAACTCCTGTCTCAACCCATTTCACTTGGGGGCCATGGAAGGGGCTGTCTATTTCAGATATGAATCTATGGATCCTACGTTGTTCCTGTAAATTTAGTTCAGATATGGCTGAAACCCAAGTTCAAAATTGAAATTTCATGAGAATAGATCAAAAGGTTTTGGTGCCAGAGGACGTGGATGGATGTCTTATTTCTACCAATATGATCAGCATTACACTGGAACAAAATAATGCAAACTCTTAAGAAGTAACTTCCCTGAGTTACTGGACTAACTTCACTGGAATAACTTCACTAAGTCCAGTAGAGAATTATACTTGAAAGCATCAGAAATAAAATGCTGTTGGTATAAGTTAGATCTGCATTAGGTCAGGTTTTGTCTGTGTACATCTAACCTGAAGTATCTCTAAAGGCAAACAGGCTATTATCTCTATACCCACCAACCAGCAACAGAGTAGTGTAATTGTTGCTTTGGGTGTTCCTTTCTTTGTATGTGCCCTTGTGTCAAGGTATTTAGCAGAATTCACAGATTTGGGGTTTTTTTTGGAACCTGGCAGGCCACTCTGTGAGATCTTCTGCTATGGCCTCAAACTTGTGATCTTTGGACTCTCAATTGTATGCCTTAGTGCCTGTGCCATGCCACACCAGCCCCCTGCCTTGGGTGTGAGCTCTCAAAAGATAGCTACACTTCTTTCCATTCCTGATTCAGGTGCAATTTATATAAGTATATAAATGATATAAATAACACCTGGACTTGAGAATATTTCTCCATGCTTGTAAAATCAAAATACCAGCCACTATTTAAGCTCAAACCTGCACTTCAAGGTTTGATCTTGGGTCCAGTTCTGAACATCATGGCCTCAGTCCTTCTCTAATGAAGATTTACTGTGGCCTGACCCTGCTAAAACTATTTTACCCTCAGAAATGCATTTGATTTAAAGAAAAAAAAAAGAGATCACAGTAGTAAATTTTAAATGACAGTTCAAGAAACTACAGGTTAAAATGCTCATCTCTGCTATTCCATAACAACAAAAGAAAAGGCTTTGAGTAGTCCATGGTACTGCTATTAAGTAGTCTTCTGTGTATCATTCACTTTAATGAGCATTCGATTACAGTTTTACAAGAAAGAATACAGCAAGGAGTGTGTTGCATTCCATGGCATAAATATTCTTCTCTGTTTTTACTCAATAAGAGCAGAATGGGGTGAACATCATATTATATCAGAGTTAGTACAATAATGGCATCCAAAAGAATTTTCACCTGCCTGTGCTTCCTATGTGAAGGACCTATTAAATATTAGAGTTGACCTTGATCTCATTTACTCTAATGCATTTCTGAAGGAGCTCAAGTCACTTTATTGGATTTCCTCTTGATTTACACTGATGAAATGAGATCAAAAGCTGACTGTATCTGAAAGCAGTAATCATCCAATGTGCAGTTATAGGTATCAGTTTTAAAAGAGAGTTTGATGGTGTTATATACCACTTTTCATCTTGTTCCATGGCACCTTTCTTACTATGGTTTTAACTGTCATATGACCGGGGAAAATCATAAACCAAAACTGATGGTATAATGACTTCAAGTCATAAGAGACCAGTCAGTAAAATCTAGAAAATTCAAGACCGAGCCTTACACTTCAGCCTTAACTGAGTCTGCTATGACTTCCTACTTCATGTAGTGGTAAGAAATAAGGACAATAGTTGCAATTATGGTGGGCCAAGGGAGTTGTGAAGCTTAACCAGTGCCTCTAAAATGCTTTGAGATACTCAGGTAAAAGGTACTAAAGGTACTAAAACATTTGTAATAATAAGAGTAAGGGCAGGTACCTCACATGATAGAAAGTGGGACTATATTCATTCCCACTGAGGGGCAGATCCGGAGTCAGTGCAGTGGCATAGTTGCACTTGCACCCCTTTGGGCCAGGGGCCTTTTTTAAATCCCTAAAGCAAGTAAAAATTCCCTTCTCCCATCCCTTCCATGCTCAGTGGCACCTCCATTACCTTTTCATTCCCCCACTCTCTTCCACTCCTACCTGCTGTTGCAGCTACCCCAGCTGAGCCTAGCTGGAGTGGGGCAGGAGCAGCTCTGGGGCTTTACTGAGGTGCTGCTGAGCAGAGAGGGGGAGGGGATCCCAAGAGTGGGGGGCAGGATACTTGATACGGGCACTTGCAAAAAGTCCCCAACTGCAGCTCCTGTGTTGTGGTCTGACTCTCTTGGTGAGGGGGAAGGAGGATCAGAACAGGGATACCATCACTCCTGTAGTCTCAGTTGCTGTTCCTGCCCTCCCCGCTTTACAAAATCTTCGATCCACTCATGTTCCCACTCATCCCTCACTTCTCACAGCATACAACATGATGTTTGTCAGTCTGTGCTTTGTTTTTAGTTTTGATCAAAATCTCAGTGTTATTTAACCAGTGGTATACATGTGAATTTTATTTGCATCATTATATCTGGACCCAAACTGGTTCCCCACTTACAAAGCCTCCTGAATATTGGGGAAATACAGATTCATTCTTCATTGTAATTTATCTCTATAACGTGCTGGAACAAAATGCAAAGTTTTAATATCTCCAGGCCTGAGAGCATACAGGGATTGTGGTTCAGTCTGTCTCTAATTGTGAGCCCTGTTAGTTAAAAGGACTATAAACCTATGTAGATTCACTGCACTTATTTTCTGTTATTCTAACAATGTCAATGAGCAACAGTTACTTTTAAATTGTGACAAAGCCCCAGACAAGCATCAGAGGGTCAAATGCAATCAATGAGGGATTGTCGAACTATATTTAATGTGCTTTAAAGCATCACATCCCAGCTTCTAATATTTCTCTCAATGTGACCTCTGTGGAGATGAGTTGTAGATGCTCTTTAGAAATTGTGCACACAGCTTACAAATGGGCTGTTGCAGTGAAAAATTATCCAGACATGCCCTTTCTTATTCTGTCACCAGCTTATATGTGGAATTATATTATTCCATTTGACCACTTACCTTATGCATTTCACTAAATAGGACTTTTATATGTCGGAATATACTTGACAGGGTACCCAATGTTTCCAGTGAATTCTCTATTGTCAAGAATTTGCCTATTTGTAATCCAAAAAGAGCTTAATTTATAAATACATTGCTTACATTACATAAAATCCATAACAAGAATTTTCATACTGAACTATTTTAATCAAGCCACACCTCAAAAGTTTTAGTGATCTTTTAATACATACTTTTAATACATATTATGTATTTGTTGCAATTTTTGATTATACAGATTATAGATATATTAAAAAAACAAAACAGAGACAGCAATTAATAAGTAGCTAATAGTAGTTACTGGGAAGAAATACATGTAACTATCAGCATTAGTACCAAGTTTTGTGCATTTCCATACATACTATTTATAGACATTGAAACAGTATAAAATGCATCTTAAAATGTATGTAGATTTATAGGATGGACACACAGCATCAGCTGCACCTGGGTCAGTGTGCTGGAGGGGAAATAGCAGTTGTCCAAAATATTTTGCTCATCCACCCGCTTTCTTTCCCTCTTGATTTTTTTCTAAAATCTGCAAAGAATTAGTAGCACCCTGGATATAGCCAGTTATTTTGTTGAAAAATTCTAGAATCTTGTATTATCTAGTGTACCCAGGGAGAGCAAAAAATTAACACCACCATTAAAGTCAGTTCATTTTTAGTATCTCCATTTTTTAGCACGCCTACAGTTCAAACTCTCCCTCATTATTTGGTGTCCTTTCTGATGGAAAGGATCAACGTTTTAAAATATTGCTTCTATTACTCCAAATGCTTAACTAATCAAAATATGCCTGAGGTTCTGATTTTTGCAAAAGATCTGTTGAAAATCAGGTAGAGGATAATCCAAACATGACACTAATGTTCTTAATCTGCAGTGATCTCTCACAGTTCCTATCTCTGTCTCTATAGTATTGCTGCCTGGCAGTCAGCCATGGTTGGTTCTGTATGAAAATCCATCTGAGTTAGCTCACTTGCTTTAAACTATAAATCATTAAAGTTGCTCTGGGATGTTAAGAATAACGACTCTTGTGTCTTGACAATCTCTCCAACCAGGGTTAATTAGTAAAATGGCTCAGTATCTAGTTTTGTAGCATATGTGAAGGAGATTTAGGAAAACTCTAGATTTGTCTATATACTGTCAGAATTACTAAATATTTACTGCTACCAGCCACCTGCATGAGTAAAAAGCTTAAATTAAATATGCTTTTTTGTCCCCTGTCATCTGGTGTAAGAGGGAAGGGAACTCCTTGTAAATCACCTATGCAACATGACTCTCAACTCATCCTGTCTCACTGAAATTTGTTTCAGTGCACTACTTGTGTATGTCTGAAGAAATACATCTCATTTTGACTTCAGACATTTGATGTTTGAATATGGAAGATTTCATTAAGTTATTCAGAGGAAGCACAAACTGAAGCTACCTGATTCCCTTTTCAAGTAATGCCCAGGTTCAGGCAAAGGATTACACATTATCTAATGGATATACTTACTGGACAATTGCCCATTTTAATTTTGAGCACATCTGTTACTGTTGCAGGGTTTGACATCTAAATTCAACTAGATAACAGGTTAAGGTCATGCATAGAAGTTTGCAAAATATTTCAGGGGAAGAGGATAGAAAATACTCTTAACTGTAGCTTTATTTATCATATTTTGAATGCAAAACTTTGCCTAATTACAAGAAGTATTTGTCCAATTATGTGCTTTTTTATTGTAATATGACACCATTATAAATGAAAATAGACTCTTTTTCAGAATAAATAACAAATT